GCCGACTGGTTCCTACTAATAATACGATGAGCTATCGGAGACAAGTGAGTAGAACAAGCCTTAGCACATATTTTAAACGGGACATTAATCAATGCAATGGGACGAAAAAGCCTAATATGATCCGCACCCGGAACTTTGGGGATCAGAGAGAGAACCGCAAAGTTTAGGCGAGAGATATCTACCGTACCCTGCATAAAACCATTACAAACATCGAAAATAGGCCCTTTGAGCACTTGCCAAAACCGTTTAAACATCGCCACCGGCCACCCATCCGGCCCGGGTGCGGTGTCCGATTTCATCCCAAGTGTCGCCTTGTCAATCTCCTCAGGGAGGAAGGCCAACCCAGGCCCTCGTTTTCCTTGTCCATGACACGCAACACAGGGTCCCAAACATCCGACCGTAGCCGAGCACGAGATTCCTCCCTGGAACCCATAAGTTGGATGTAGAAATCGTAGATGTGATGGACGATATCCTGTTTCCGCAAAAGGAGCCTCTGCTCGGACTGCAATCTTAGGATGGCGCACTTGCGGCGCCGGCCATTAGCGTAGGCGTGAAAATATTTAGTGTTCGCGTCTCCCTTGAGCTTCCACTTGATACCACCGGTCTATGCCAGTACTCCTCCTTTGCTCTAAGGAGGGACTCGACTTGGGCTTCTAACACGTATCGCTGAGCCCAGTCTTGCTCCGAGAAGACCTGCACATCCGTCGCAGCATCCATTTGTGCGAGGTCCGTGGTCAAACGCGATCGGAGCAACTTATCTCCGCGCCCCTGGTTGGCCCCCCACCCTTTGAGGGACGCACGCAAACCCGCCCCTGCGGAAATCCAGAACTCCATCGGCCCGCGCGCGTGCCCGACCCGGGCGACGCAGTTCTCCCATTTTGTGAGAAAGATTTGCTCAAATTCCGGAGACTCTAACCACGCGGTTTCGAAGAAAAAACGAGGGCTGCGTTTTAACCTTTCCTCCCCCGAGGAGAGGATGAGGGGGACATGGTCCGACCCTATCCTCGTTTCGGCGTGCAAAGAGCACATGGGAAACATCATCTCCCACTCCGCGGACATAAAAACCCTGTGCAGGACCGACCGCACTGGCGTTAGTTGTTTGTTGGTCCAAGTGTAGCGTGCCCCCACGCGAGCCACTTCCCTAAGGGCCATAGATGCGATCGCATTATTAAACATGGACACCCTTGTCCAGTTAATGATACCGTTGTTTTTATCCGCTCCCGAACGGATTAAGTTGAAATCACCACCCACAAGCAGTGGCAAGTTACGCACGCCCAAAGACGCAACCTTCTCCTGGAGTTCCCCCAAGAACTCGAGCGAGTGCGAGTGGTCGGCCGGGCCATAAACCACAATAACCTCCCACTCGTGGAGTGTTGCGCGGTGGCGCACGTGAGCTGACAGGAAGAAACGACCGGCATCCCACGCCACCACCTCATAGCAAACTAGGTTGATGCCTAGCAACATACCCCCCGAGTGGCCGACCGCCGACACCCAATGCCAAACAAAACGCTCAACCGGGTCGACAGCTAGCAGGTCCCGATGATTGAAATCAGCCTTGATTATTTCCTGCAAGCCAACTACGTCGATCCCCTCTTCCCGTATGAATTCTTTTAGCTGGGTCCGCCTCCCAGCGTGGCCGAAGCCTCGGATGTTCCAGAAGATGAAACGCATTAGATTATGCGGTTGCGGAGGCGGATACCGCGAGTGGTTACCGCTTTGGCCACGCGCAGTGTCTTGACAGGACGACGGTTGGAGGGGGACGACACAGCCTCTGCTGCTATGTCCTCCTGATCGGGCCGCGCAACAGACACCAGAGAAGCCCCTGCTTCTTCTGCCGCTGGCGCAGCGCGGGCCGCCGCTGCCTGAGCGAGCGTGGCCTGCGCGATTTCCTTAGCACGAATGAGAGAAAGAAGTTCGCGCGCTTCACCCTCGTCGGACATCACTACGCCACTATCCTCTAAGATTCCCCCTAAGCACTCGTCAGAATAGTCATCAAAGATCGTAAAGCGGGGCATGGGGTTACCTTCTGTTTCCAAGTTCTTCTGAGCCAGCAAGAGTTGGGCGCGTTGCAGGGCTGGAAGGTTGCCCTTGGCGCCCTTCGGACGCGAGCTCGCCCGCTCCTGCGTCGCCGGAGACGCCACCACCGCCTTGGAACACTTGGCCGTGGATATGGGCGCCACCTTGGACACCTCCGCGCGGAGCGCATCAGAGGCAGGAGGGGAGATGCCCGTCGAGGGACCGCCAGCCGGACCCCCAGGGGAGGCCAGCGCCATCACCACCGGCCGCTGCGAGGCAGGCGTGCCCGCGCGGACCGAGGGGGGACTCGCCGGCGCCACCGTGGGAGTCTTGCGGCCCGCCGGCTTCTTGTGGAGCCTCGTCCCACCGCCACCGAGGCCGGTCGCAGACTTGGGTGAGCGTGCCGTGAAAGCACGAAGCTCACCCACCTCCGCAACCACCGGGAAGACAAGCATCGAGCGACCCTCCGCGTCACAGGACGCCGAGACACCCTTGTCGATGTCGAGGCCGAGCGTCATGTTGGAGCCGTACTGGTTGAAGCCCGTCTCGTTGCTGCCCACCACCACTTGACGCTACTCCTGGTCTTTCGCAGCTCCCGCCGCCGGAGCCGCGGCCTGTGCATCCTTGTCCTTGAAACCAAGCTTGTCCCAAGTCACGGTATCAATGGAGTCATCCCCCATGCTCGTGTCGCGGTCCTTGTCCTTGTCATCCGGCCCCTTGTCCACACTAGCTGGTGGAGGAGGAGGGGGAGCAGCACCCTGCAGGTCACCCGCCTCGGCCTCCAGCCGAATGGTAAAGCCCTCGCTGTTGAACCACACTTGGACGTACCCCCTGAGCTTGGCCGGGGATCGACACGCGAAGCCTATCCGCACTGGAGGTAATACTCTCGCAGTGGAAGATAGCTTGGAGCGGATTGCCACTATCCATGGCTACGTGGCAATGGTCCAGTGGTACGGCTGCAGCAACAATGGCGTGGTGATGAACAGTGAGGGCGAGTTTTTTATTTTTTTATTTTAGAAACAACGGTGAGGGCGAACTGTTCTTTTAAGAGGGGTATGCTACGACCTGGGCCTGGGCCATGGCGTGAGCCCTGGCTGAAAAAGCCCAGCCCATGTGGGCTTGTAACGGTCACCTAAGCGCGAGGGTTGCGTGTATGCGAGGATAGGAATGATCATTGTAAAGACACTACTTTCCCTAAGCTTTCCTCTCCCTGCCTACTTCTTCTTCTTCTTCCCAACGCCACTTCCGTGAAGTTCGAGTCTCCACATCCCGGCGTGACGCAGGGAAATGCTATTGTCCTGTAGCACAAAGGACTTTCCACAACTGTTGGTTTGTCGACGAAGCTTCCAATTTAGTCCCTTCCTCCAAAGGGCTCTGGAAGTCGACGTCGATCGTGGTGCTGCCCTTAGAATTGGCCCAGTCCAGCCCAGTCCCTCTCTATCTACATGACCACGGCTGCGTCTCTGCTTTCATCATCTCCGGCTGGGTCTCCAGTTCTCCACACAATGAACACTAGCAGCTGGACTACTCCAACGCGGTGAACCGTGAGTTGTTCGATGATATGCCTCCTCAGCATCGGGTATTTTCCCCAACCCAAGTCTACCTGCTGGTGCACCACTAACCCAAGTCTACGTGCTACTTTCACCTTTTGCATCTTCTTTTTTTCATTTACCTTGTTCTTCATGTCCACAAGCGTCACTGCCTGAGACTGAGAGAAGACCACCAGAACCCAGACCTTTCAGCAAGGCTGCCACTCATATTTTCCATCCCTGCAACAGACATAGAACCTTGGTTGCGGAGCACATTTAACGACCAACAAATTCGATCACAACGGTACCACCGATAACAAGACGGTGTTTGGCGGTGGGGGAGTAAACATGTTTAGACCTCTTCACACCACAAAGGAACACAAAAGAGGCCTTATTATTATCCTGCTAACCATACTAAGGGTGTTCCTATAACACAGGGCATATGTCCATCTTGTCCTCGAATCGCTGCTGTGCAGAACAGACGACCGACCACTGCGCCACAAGCCCTGGTGAACTGCATACAAGAAATGGCACATGTCAGTAAGGACGGCATCAGTCACTGATAAAGGTAACCATGACTATCTCTATCTGGATGCAACATTATGAAACTAGAGACACAATTATTTCATATTTCCCCCCATAAATAGAGCGCACATCTTATGCTAAACCATCAAATGATTTTGACAGCCAGGCATGTTCAGGATCAAAGAGAGATTTTCCTTGAATAACGCGGAAAATATATATACCACATCGACGACCAGTTATGTGCAGCTTCAAAAATACAACCAAAAAGAGCCTTTTTCTTTTCTAGGTGTGACTACCAAAGATGTTCCTTTTTCACCAGTGCCACCACTGACACTTTATTTTGGAAAAATGATTCCTGCATACTAAATTACGCACTAGTCAATCCATCAGTTTTTCTACCAGCCTTTTCTCTCTACCGCATTACCAAGGAGCGGCAGGGTACTATGTCAGTTTCTTGCACAGCCATCTGCTTTGAGAAACAAATTCTTGTCATCCAAACTTGCTTCTTTCTCCAGTGAACACATAGGGCAGCCTAAATTTTATTTGCAGAATTCGATAAGGGAAGGTCCTTATAAATATATTGCACAATACTCTAGAAGCCGAAAAGAAAAGAAGACCATAGAGATTATTCACACCTGTACGGGTGATTTTACTAGTATAACACATTTATGAAAACTTAGAAGGAAAGATGCTCTACTTTTTAAAACTGACGCACTAACCATAGGACACTACATACTGGCACAGGAATCAACGTTGTATGATGGTATAAGAAGGAAATCAGTACTGGAACTTTCCTTTGAGTATTATCACATCAACATAGGTATAAGCATCCAATCTATCCAAAGTAAACTAACTTAGTCGTCCATGGATAAGAAGTGGATAAAAATAGTCCATGTAATAAGTGCTTCTTACCACCATTCTTGTTCTTCCCTAGTAAGAAGGCGGACGGAGTTCTCTTAGACGGCGAACAACATGTTTCATTTTGGGCCTAGAAGAAAGAGACTCCACAGTGCACAGGACCCCCAGGTTCATAATCTCAACCAGGTCATCATGTGGGGCCTTATTCCACAAGCCCTCAACGAAGAACTCGGAAACTCTACCGCTTTGGATTAGCTTATTAGCCCAGCTAATAATGTTGAAACCATTTCCATATGGAGAGAACGATGGATCCAGTACTTTCTTATCCGAGATCAGTTCAAGAAGCAGAACCCCATAGCTATAAACATCTGCTTTATCAGACACACGGCATGTCATTGCATACTCCGGCGCGACATAACCAAAAGTACCAGCAACACTTGTGGTTGTATGAGTTTGTGAGTTGCGAAGAAGTTTTGCTAATCCAAAATCGGAGAGATATGCATTGAAGTCATTGTCGAGCAATATGTTGCTTGGCTTAACATCTCGGTGCAGAATGCGGGGGGAGCACTCATCATGCATGAAAGCAAGAGCATGAGCAATATCCAGAGCAATTTTGTGGAGCACTCTCCAACCAATTTGCCTCTTAGTTCTCTCCTGTATGAACCTCTCCAAGTTTCCACCTGGCAAATAGTTGTATATCAGGAATGTCTCTTGGTCACTGATATGGTACCCCATGAGAGTGACAAGATTAGGATGGCGACGCCGCCCAAGGGTTTCAACTTCTGCTTGGAACTGCTTGGCACCGTGTTGCCTCCCAATAGAAAGCCTCTTTACTGCCACCAAAACCCCAGGTGCAACCTCAGCTTTATACGTCGCGCCAAAGCCGCCAAAGCCGATGCAGTTGCTTGCGTTAAAATTTCCAGTGGCCCGGACAATTGCCTCATAAGTTAGGGAAGCTCCAATGTCAACGCCATCAAAAACCTTCACCTCCCTCTCCCTTCTAGTGCCAGCGCTAGTGCCAGCGCCAGTGCCAGTGCGCCTTGGTTGTCTCGGGGTCCGTCTTCTCCTTTTGAAAACGTATATGGTGGCCACAACTAAAAGGGCAACAATGACGACTAACACCAAAGCTATTGCAACAATCTCTATGGTCTTCAGATGACCAACATTGCCGCTGCCATCAGGCGGGGTGCCTCGGTTTGCCTCGGTAAGTACCCAGGTGCTTTTGTATTGGGGGATGACTGTAAATACTTCAGCAGAGTGGGGTGGTGGACCTACCCCTGAACTATCAGCTGTCACTTGGGAAATCTCATCCATTTGAGGTGATGGCATAGGAGCGGAAACCTTCGCAGGGAGCAGATTACCGTCAAGGAGTAGAACGGTGTGATCTCTCAGTGCCACGAGATCAATTGGAACCACTCCTGACAGAGAATTTGAGGACAAATTTAGCACCCTGAGTGATCTCAGCTGACCCAGACCGGATGGTATCTCACCACTGAAATTGTTCCCAGCTAATGACAGAAACCTCAACTTCTTGAGCTCCTTGAGAATGGAGGAAGGCACTTGCCCATGGAGTAAATTTCTGCTGAGGTCCATCTTGACAAGGTAACTGCAATGCCGGAGCTCCGGCGGAACGCCACCGGCTAGTCTGTTCCCGGACAATTCCAAGACCCGCAACTCGGCAAGCCTCCCAATCTGCGGAGGGATGAAACCATCCAGCGAATTGGAAGACATCCGGAGCCGCCGGAGCCGCGAGCAGTCCCCGAGACCAGGAGGGATTCTCCCGGAGAGCTGGTTGCCAGAAAGGTCCAAACTCTGCAGCCCCTTGGGGAAGATGGCCGGAAGGGAGCCGCGGAGGGAGTTGCCCGCGAGGTTGAGGACCTCCAGGTTCTGCAGCCGCCATAACGCACCAGGTATCTCTCCGCGGAGCCCTCGGGAAGGTAGAGAAAGTACTTTGAGATCGGTGAGGCCGGCCACCGCCGGTGACAACACCCCGGCGAGGCGCCTGCTGGGTTGGGAAGGGAGGGAGATGGCGACAACCCGGGACCGCATGTCGCATCTCACCTCCTTCCAGGAGCAGTGTTGAACGCCTGAGTCCGGTGACCAGTAGCCAGGGACGTCGCCGCAGCCGGAGGAGAGTCCGTTCATGAGTTGGAGGAGAGCCGACCTATCATGTTCTTGGACTAGCGAGGAGGAAGCGGCGGCGATATGGTGGAGGAGGAATAAGGTGACAATGGTTGTGAAGCAGAGTGTTCTCTGGCGATGGAAGGCCATCTCCGACTAGTCGCCGACGAGGCCCTGGCTCTGTGGGAGCAGAGGATGTGGAGTCGGTGTGAAAATGGAATGCGCCGAATAGTGAAGGCTTAGCATAATTAAAAAGACGAAGCGACGACGACTCGGGAGTGATAAGAGAAAACTGAAGGGGCTAGACTGCGAGAATCGGATGGCTTTACTTGATTAATTTTTTATTTCTATTCATGGCCTAGTACCTTTCTTGGCTATATTTTTGGAAGAATACATTTGTTTTGCAAATTTAACTGGTGGTGACAGTGGCAATGGCCAATCCGGTTGTTAGTTTTGTGACTGTTTGTTCCATATTTGATTTTCAAATACCTAACCACATTCACCATGTGGTTTGCTTGGTAACTATACCGTGCTAGGTTTCTACGCTGCATTTTCTTAGCGGTGGTGCACCTTTTGGCGGCAACTTATAGATACATTCATGTTTTCAAAAAAAAAAAGAAAAAATAGGCCCAGCCATAAAGGCGAACCGCTTCGGGTGTTGATACCGACACATACTCCTAACGGCCCATTGTATTTGGCGCCTATATTGTTGGGCCGAAATTTTTGGTTTCATTTCAACAGCTGGAAGTAGCGTCGACCCATCACATTCACTACTTTCGTGGCCGAAGGCGTCTCCGCAACCTCAT